ATGAGAAGAGGCTTTTGAAAGCTAAGACTCTCCGCACCGAGTTTTGAGAAGCCTGATAACAGTCAGTGGCAGGGTCTCCCAGACAGAGGCACCCCTTCCAGGCCCCCAGGAAAGGCCCTGACAATGACATCTCTTTTCCGGGAGAGGCTGCCCAGGCCTGGTGCTTCCGTGTTGCTGTGATGGCAGCAGGTGCCCACCAGAGGGCGCCCTGGCACAGCGCAGATCAGCTGGGCTCAGCTCCTGAAGCGAACCCAAGTGCTTTTTAATTGCAAAATTTTTTAATTCAAAAAGGATTTGCTGTTTGTACGCGAGTGCAGGTTTTCCTTATGCAGGAGGCTAATGTCTTGAGTAAACAGATATCTGGACCCAAATCCACCTTCAAAGGTACTTACTGTTTGCCCAAGGGGGTGAAATGGCTTCCAGAAGCCGCCCTAGTCTCTTGGGCAAACACTTTAGGGACAGGCAATCTGGGGCAGAGGACAGCATCTGTGGGAAGGGTTATCCGCAGCCTAAGGGGGATTATGTCGGGGGACATACACTGAAATTTCACTTGGGAGGTTAGGGAAAATGAGAGGTGGAGTAGTTCTTTTCTCCAGCCTCCAAAATAACCTAAAAAGGGAAAGAATCCCAAGGGTGTGGTGCTTATTGGGGGGGGGGGTCTGTGCACTGCTCTCATAGACCCTGGCCTCCCAGTGCACTTGGACTGCAAGCCAGGAAAAGGCAAGTGTATTTGCTGCTTCTCTGCCCACCCCCAGCCCGAGTTGAAGTGACATTGAAATTTAGTGGTTCATCCTTGAAGCCTTGCCCACTCCATCTCTGCAAGCACCCGGTCCCAACCCTGGGCCACAAAGACGCCTGTCTCCACCCCCACCCCCCCAAAGGCACTTCTGTCCTAGTCAGCCAGCTGTTTCCCCGGGCTTGGAAATTCCTGCTTCCCCTTGTCTCTTGCCCACCTCCCCCCACCCCCGGAAAGCCCCAGTGGGCTTCTTGGCCCACCCCGGTAGCATCTGGGCCTGCAGATGAGCTCGCACCCTTGGCCTGTGAGCTCTTTAGGACTGGTGCCTCAGTCTCCCTTCACTTGCTATCTGTGACTGACCAGCCCTCAACAAACCAAGGAGCCAGGCTGCCCCGTACACCTCCTGCTGTCCCCAGAAGCCTGCACAGAACCCCACACAGCCTGCAAAAGGAGCAGAAGTGACTGCAGCCAAGAACTGCCTGTCGCGGTGCTTGACAGACACAGCTAATGGCTGACGCAGGTCTCTCCCCCTCATTTGAGGAGTTGCTTCATCTCTGCTGACTGACCAGGCATCTCCCCGTCACCTGCCTCCCCACATTAAAGTGGGACCTCCCAGTCCCCATCTCCAGCCGGCTCCCCCAGCCTGCTTTCCTAACCCACCCCACCCTCTTCTGCTCACTCCCTTCCACATGCCCACTCCAGGTCCCATTGATGGAGCCACTGAGTTATCTAAGCTGGTCCCTTATTACTCAATGTGCAGCCCCCTGTCAGCCACATCGGGTCACCTGGAGCTGGTTGAAAATGCAGACCTGCTGAGTCGGAGTGTGAGTTTGAGCAAGGCCCCCAGGAGACTGGTGTTCCCATTAAAGGTTGGGAAGCCATGCAGCCCTTCAAGACGGCACCTCTTGCCTGGGTGCCACCCTCTCCCTGCTGCTGAAGAGCAGCCTGGTGACATTCATCAAGTCCACTTTGTCACCTGTCTCTAACTATCACCCCCCCCCCAGCGGCTCTTGCCATGGTCTCCAGGTGTTTTAAGTGGCCGTGCCCACCAGTCTCTGCAGCTCGGGCTTTGCTGTCCCCCCTCCACACCACCTGTCTCCTCCTCGTTCCCTGTGCCCCCATCACCTGGGCCAGCCCTGCCTCAGTGTCCTCTACCTTCCTCAAGGGCATAGGCCTGTCCTCTTGTCTTCTGACCCTGTGTGCTTTTCTCAAAACACTTCCACACCTGTCGCTCCCACTGCCCTCTAGTGCTTTCGATCGCGACCCCTTGCCTCTGTTTCTCCCCTGGTGCCCCTCAGGGGCCTCCTGCTCAGCCAGTGGGGAGACTGCGCCCACGTTCTCTCCCCAGCTTGCTCTTCCTCCGGGGTTGCTCATGTGGGCTAATGGCCTGATGAGCTGTTGCCAGTGGAAACAGTCATCCTCGTTGCACCACTTCCGTCTGTAGACCGTGCTGGTCCTGCCTCCCCAACACCCACCCCTCCACCCCTTCCCCTCTCTGCAGTGAGCTTCCGCCGCACAGTCTGCATATTTCTCCTTAAATCCCCACCCCCGCAGTGACTCTGGCAGTGGGGCTCTTGTCTGGAGCCCTGGGGGAGGTGTGTGTGTTTTTCGAGTGGAGAAACGCCTTGGCTTTGCCGGCGTGGGTGTTATCCAAGACCCATGGAAGATTAAAAGCCAGTCGTCTGCAGGATAAAGTGCACATAGCCTCGGGCTAGTCCTCTGCCGCCTCTCCAGCCTTGTCCCCGGCCACCCCAAACCCTGTGTGCCTTCTCTCCCCTGTACCCTTCCCCCTGCTGATCTCTGCTCTCAACGCCTTTCCCCACATGCCTCCCAGCCAGGCTCCTCTTCCACCCGAAAGATCCAGTTCAAATGCTCCCTGCTCTGTGAAGTTCTGCTTGCTTCTTGGCCTCACCACGCCCTGCATAGCTGACCTCAGAGGTGATGTTCCTGTGTCCCTCCACTGTCACCCTGTGAGCCATGGGGAACAGGGGCTGCGTGGGGTCCGTTCGTAGCCCCAGCACCCAGCACAGGGTGAATATCACCAGCTGATAAAGCCAAGGAGGGGAGTGGCTTTGCCTCGAGTTTTTTGGTTTGGTTACCTGTCATGCACATACCCAAGCAGCCACAAGGTGGCAGTATTGTCCCAGGCTTTGCCCAGACCCCTCTTGGAAGGCAGGGCATTCCACCCGGCCTTTGGGGAGCTGGAGTCCCAGACCTTGTTCTGTGTCATGGTTGTTTAGAGAACAGCAACATGGGGGGCTGAGGGCTGCTTTGGTTGATAATCTCTCATATCCAACATACATTCACTGAGTAAGTGGTTGGTACCAGGACACAGTAGGGTGCGATCCTTAAACCACCTAACCCCATTCCAACGTCATAGTGGTTCCTGGGAGAGATCATCACCTCAATTTACAGTTCGCTGATGTTCAGAGGAAGGACCCACCTGAGGTCACACCTCCTTCCCTGCCGCTTCTGAGCACAGATGCTGCATGTGTAAGGGCTGTGATCTAATGTCTTCCCCCACCCCACCCCACCCCACCCTGCGTCTCCTGACACCTGCAGGCTCAGGGCAGCACAAGGCTGCTCATCCCATTGTTCACACAGGGATGGGTCAGCCCAGGCCTCACCCCTGCTACGACCCCAGCCAAGATCACTGTCCATCCGTCCTGGGTCTTCCCTGTGGGCCTGGCAGTGGGTGGCCAGGGTCACAACACGGCATGGACAGTCTGCTGCAGCACCCCTGCATTTCCTCTTCATGAGAAAAAATGTCTTCACTTCCCTTCACTCTTCAGTGACTTTGAAATCCCGCTCCGACCCCTGAGTGCGCATCACTCCCTCAGCTGCTCTCCTTGCCCTCACAGCCATCAGGAGGCCTCCTTACTGCAGGCAGCTCACTTGGGCTGGTCAGGAGGGCCTCCCAGGAGGAAGTAGGTGGGGCATGGATCCCCCAGCTCTGCTGGGCTCTGCAGCCTCCCTGTGGAGGCCCCTGCCTTGGTGGTGGCTTCCTAGGACACCACAGTCTCCCAGTGCTCGTCCCCTGCTGGAACGGCTCCATCGCTGGGGGTGTCCCTGACGGGCTGGCATCATGTGGAGGCCAAGTTCAACGAGGGCAGCTCCACCTTACTCTGTTTCGTATGGAGTAACCCTGGATAAGACTTTTTTTTTTAATGGAAATCTGTTAGAAAGTTGTTTATATTACTTTAAAAGTTTGACAACCACTGACCTAATCTAATCCTCTCATTCCTAAAACCCATATGACGACACGGCTGCCTTGATGGAGGCTTCCGGGCCATTTCCCACAATGCCCGCCTGCCCCTACAGCGCCATGGCCCCCAGTGCCCACTGCCCAGCCTGCTGCCAGCAATTGTTTGCCAGGCCTGGGCACCCCTCACTGGTGTCCATAGCATGTCCATCCTCTGCCTGGAATGCCCCTGCCCACATTGGATGTTGAGATCCTGACCTTCCAGAAAAAAACGCAGGGGTTCCCTCCCCTCCCCCTACCATCAGAGTGCCTACCCCTGTCTGCATCCCCATCACACTCAGAACCTACCAGTATTGTTTGGTTCTCAAGTGTGAGGTCAGGCTCCCGCCAGGCTGGGCTCTTATTGTGGGGAGACAACACGAGCTGGCTGAGGACAGGGACACGCAGCCAGGCAGCTCTCGTGTGCACATGCGGGGGCTTCAGGGAGAACACGAAGCAGCTCGGAGAGGCTCAGGAAGGCCCTGGCCTGTGCTCTGTGCCTCCCTCAGAGAGGCTGTCATGGAAGTGCCCAGGAAACACCAAACGACTGGGCCACACCAGGTTGCAGACGCAGAGTGTCCCCTAAGCCTTGTGGCTGAGATCCAACCTCAAGTTTAGGGTCAAGTCCCAGATCTGCCACTTACTAGCCCTGTAACCCTCCTCTTCTCTGCAGGAGTCTGAGGGGGTCCCGCTGGGCTATAAAAGGTGAAGCAGGAGGACCTCACCACATGTGCTGGCAGCACCTGGGTACTGCAGGGAGTAGGGTAGGGACTGTGCCATTGTCCCCAAACTCATCAGTCTTCAGCGGCAGCAGACAAAACACGCAGACACGCACCCTTCTCACACACTCACAGCCACCTGTACACACAGAGGGCGACCCCACTGAGCCCCGGGCTTGCCGTTGCTGTGTCTGGGTGGCCAGCAAGGTGGCCGGCCCTTCTGTCTTGCTCGGGGGCGTGGTGAGGTTTCCCTGGGTTCCTCGTGAACTGACTGTGCCTATCTGTGCCCTTCTCCCCTCTGCAGTATGAGTACAGCTTCCGCACAGAGCAGAGTGCCGCTGCCAGACTCCCGCCCAGCCCCACCAGGTGTCAGCAGATCCCGCAGTCCTGAGGAGCTTGGGGAGAAGAGGAGCCTCCTGCCCAGACTACTGATGGGGGCCTGGCTGGGGCTGCGGTCACTCCCGCCTGGCTGTGTCCCTCCCACCCACCCTCTCCCTCCCCAAGACGGAAGCCCCCTGCCACCGGCCAGCCCACCTTCCCACATGCCTTGCAGGCCTTGTCTGGGAGACTCCGGACTTCTGAGCTGTTGCATTCTTTGGAATCAGCTTGCCTGTTATGACACCCCAGTCTCCCTGGGGACCTTGTTCGTAATCGCGACTAATCTGTGTGTGCTGTAGTGACCAGAGGCTCCTAACAAGTCTTTGTAACGATCAGTCGTCCTGCAAAACCCTCACGCACCACAGGAGCCACCCCCCAAGGACCCGGTGATGCCCGCCTGCTCCCTCACTCCTGACGCCACCACGGGAGACCCCACCAAGCCACTGCTTTCTGGGAACAACTTTGCATAGGACTCTCCAGCCCTGCTGACGGCTCCAGACCCAGGGCCGCTGTGGAGCAGGTCTCTCAAGCCGACAGGATCAGGTAGCCCGAGCGTTTGCGGCAATTCCGAAAAAACACAGCGGGAAGCAGCCAGTGGCCCACGGAGGGGGCTCAAGCCTATCTCTTGGCCCAGCGGGGACATCCTGTGGACTCACAGGCCCGGCTCACGCTGCGTGTTCTGAGGCTGGAGCAGCACGTGCTGGCCACTGGGGGAGAAGGCCGAGGGCTGAGGGTGGCCCGTTGAGATGTGAGTTTTGCTGCCCAGGGTGCTGTGCTCATCCGGCTCATTCCCCTGCCCCCAAAGGGCTCAGAGGCCCCCGTGCCAACAGCAGCTCCGACTGCCTCAGCCAGGTGCCCTGGCCCCAGTGACCACAGGAACAGACGCTGCAGGGCCTCAGGCGACCACCAGAGTACCTGGCTACCCAGCCCAGTACCTCTGGCTTCTCTCAGATATCGGATGTGTCTTGATGTCGTCTGCTAATAGGAACAAGTCATTTGTTCAAATGAACAAAAGTCCATCTGACCAAATCTGAGCCAGACCTGACATTTCTGCCAGGAGCGTCCATTGGAGGTGCCGGTTGCCAAATTGGACTCAGGCACGTTTGCTGCCATGAGAACAGCGGCTGTTGCTGCCCCCAACTGGGTTTGTTTTTCATTGTCCGACTGTCAGGGTACCTCCTCTGTAATTCCACCCAACACTGGTATCTTAGCTCTCATGTGTCCCCACATGGTCGGCTCTTTGGACAGGGGGTTGATGAGTGTGTCTGGAGGATGGAGTATGGAAGACAGTGAAGTTCCCCAAAGAAAAGTCAGGGCAGGAGAGCTGCCATCTCTGCCAGGCTCAGACCCACTCTCTGCAGTTGCCAAGATGGTGGCGCCGCCTGGGTGGGCACAGAAGGAACTGGAGGAAGAACTGGACCACACAGAAGGGGTGGCCACGGGCTAAGAGGTGGGGCTAAGGCAAAAAATACCTCACGTACCTGCATCAGCCCCACCCCATCCCAGCTCCAAACCCCTCAGACCCTTTTGTGGCCCCAACTCTTCCTCCTTGGATTGTCCATTGAGATTCAGTTTGGCCAGAACGTGCTTGGCCAAGTCTTGGTACCTCTGGGTTTCTGCAAATTACAGAAGTGGCTGCCACTCCTCATCTTCCCTGAGGATGCCTCTGGTGGGGGCTGGCCTTCTGGTGCCCCCCACAGGGTGGTGGTGGTGGTGGGAAAAGCCCCCACCCCAAAAGACCTGTGAGGTCAAGATGGGAGTCCCTGTGTGGATCTGTCAAGGGGTTTGATGCTTAATCAGGACTGCTGAGGAACTGACCTCAAAGATATCCACTAAAATAAGCTAGTTGTTTTCTGGGGGAGTCTAGAGGTTCAGTGGAGTCCCTACATGGTGTGAATGGTTAAGCACGCTGCTACTAACCAAAAGGTTGGCTGCTCAAACCCTTCCAGAGGCACCTTAGAAGGCGGCCCTGGCAACCTGTTTCCGAAAGGCCACAGCCATGGAGACCCTGTGGAGCCCAGTTCTACTCTGAAATGCATGGGGTCATGAGTCAGGGTCAGCCTGACAGCAGCAGGTTTGGTTTGTTGGTTTGAGTGGTAGAGCCCAGAGAACTTGTGTTTACTGTGACTTTTTGGATGGGTGGCTGGGCCCAAACCAAGTGATGGTGTGACTTGAAGCCCAGCGGACAGAGGTGATGTCCAACAGGCCTGGGGGTGAGGGCTTAGGGGCAGGACTCTGATCACTGTGTCTAGTTCATGATGGTTCATCACTTTGTGTTTCAGTCTTTTCACCCTGGTCATGCGACTGCCCTACAGGTAACGCCCAGTGGCCCTTCTCTCTCCTGCCCTGAAAGCAAGGCTTTTCAGCGGCTCTGATGGGCCCTATCCTAGAAGGTTCAAAGACAGTAAGTAGCCTTGTCAGTGAGCAAGAAGGGGAGCTGGGGAGTGAGTGCAGTTGCTGGAGAAGGGAGGAAGAGGACCCCCCACTCCCAGTCACGCCTCTCATGAGGCCCTGCTTGCATTGTGACCCAGCCGGGTCCCCCACGGGCCAAGTTCATCCTTGACAAACCACCAGGAAAGAGGACACACTTACATGGACTGCTAGCGGGAGAGACATTCTCGATAGCATTACAGAAGTAGTTTAAATATAACCTTGACTGTGAGCATTGTAATAAACGGCAGCTTAAAATAATTAAGCAGCTACAGTGTTAAGGACAAGTTGGTGTCTGTGGTAGAGTTTAGGCTGCTCCTGACCCTCTAATTCTTTGCCTTCTGAGAGGAAGGTGAGGACGGGCAGTGTGTGGTGTGGCAGTAGGGATATGTGTGTGTGTGAGTGTGTACGTGTGTGTGCATGTGTGCCCACCCCATGTAGGGGCTCATGCAGATCCCAGTAGAACTGATCCGTGGAGCCTTGGCTCACACTAGGAATCGTGTGACCTTTTGTTTCTTTTTTGGGAAAGTGCTTTTCTTCACAAACCTTCTTGGCCGCTGTGGGGAGGGCAGGGCAGGATTTCTAGGAACCGTGAAGATGAAGGCCTTATCTTGGATCCCCGGCCCCAGCACACCCCACTGCTGCTGCTGGTCCCTGTCTAGAGCCCTCATCTCCCCGGAAAAGACCTGAACCAGAGCCCAGCTTTCCCTGCCGCCTGCCCTGTCCCTCTGAGAAGTCAACGCATCTCTCCAAGAGCCCTGAAAATGACACAAAGGTGAGGAGGAGGAGGGGGTCTGCTCCGAGCTCACTCGCCAGGTTATAATAAAGCCTTTTTCCCACCCCAAGTCCAAGAACTAATGCAGCCATGGCCCTCCGCTACTTGAAGAGATGAGGATCAGGGTAAATAATTGGTAGGTGGAGCCCATCGTGATGGCCAAGGCCGTTTTGCACAGCGGGGCTATGGACGCTGGTTGGCAGCCCTGCTTGTCTCCTCCCTTAGTGATCAGAAAGGCAAGTGAGAGACAAGAGGGGTTGACATGTTTTAAGCACCGACTTCCTGCCAGGCAGCGTGCCAGGCACTTGAAGCACATTAGTTCCTGTTATTCCCCCAAATAAATGCAACCCCAGAAGTGGGTGTCACTTGCTTCTTATTGCAGATGAAGAAACTGAAACTTGTCCATGGCACATGGCCAGTGAGTGGCAGAGAAGGGACTTGACATTTGACCTCCAGTTGTGTCTGGTGCCAAAGCCACTGTGCCAGCTGACCCACCATAAGCACATGCCTCATGCAGACCTTCTGTTTCCATTCCATAATGGGCTTCCCAGCCACTGGGAAGGGACCTGCTGCTGGCCAGCGTGAGGGTATCACCACGCCCCCACATGGAGGTGCTGAGCAGGTCTTCCCAAGGTCTATGGGCTCCCAGGTCTGGGGGCTTCTCAGGTCTACAGGCTCCCCGAGGTCTACAGACTCCCCAGGACTTCAGGCTCCCTGAAATCTGTGGGCTCTCCGGGTCTAGGGGGTCCCCAGGTCTGCTGACGCCCTGGCAACCCCACTGCTTGCCATTCACTGGGGGTGTCAGCCTGCAGCTTCTTGGAGGAGGAGGAGGAGGGCGGAAGACGAAGCAGTCCTGAGCTGCCGAGGTGCCCAGAAGCTGAGCTTGTTGGGTCAGCTCAGTGCTGACCTTGATCCTGGAGCCTGGGGCAGGAGGCCGGCGCACGCTCACCCTCGAAACACTGGCCCAGGCCCAGGCCCAGGCCCAGGGGGCAGCTGTGGCTGTCACCACGGGGACATGGGGCGTGTGTGTGCCCGGCTCGGGGTGTGGAGCTGCTGTCCTCCTTGCTGTGGGTTCACCCAGCAGCACTGACCTCGCTGATCGTATTTATTTGAGGTGACTCTTGGACTTGGCAAAGGGGGGTTTCACTGTGTGATTATCTGTATTCTTAATATAATTTGTTAAATAAACATTTGTTTTAACCTCTTTCCCCCGTTTGCTGCCGTCTCTGAAACACTAGAAGTCATTGTTCCTCAGGGGGCGCTCTGAGGCTCCGGCCTGACATCCCCAGCCTGGGCCAGCTGCGGCTCTTGGGGAGCAGGTGGCCCCTACCCAGCCTTTCACCTTCCAGAAAGAGTGGATGGGCTGCTCTGCCCGGTGAGATGGCTGGTTGTCAGCCAGAAGAATCCAGGAGCGGCACGAAGGACACCGTTACTCTCCGGAAATGGCCCTCCAGGGCCACCCCTTGAAGGGAAAAATCCTGCTTGCCGTTCACGTGTGTGAAATGCTCACGGTTGTGTCTAAATGGGCCGCTGAGTGGGAAGGTGAAGGTGCGCCCCCATCTCCGTTTACCCCGGAGCCCTTGTCTCTGCTGGGTTGGCCATCTGGCTGGTGAGTGGAGGAGACACAGCCGGACTCGGCTCTGGCGGTTTCAGTCCTGTCCCTACTGTGTACCTGTTTACAAGATGCCACTCCAAATGCCAGGTAGGGGGCTGCAGGGCCCCAGGACACAGGCATAGGCTCCTTGGAGGAACCATCAGTTCAGGCTTCGCTATCAAAACTCTTTGCCTCCTTCATGTGTGACCTTGTT